ACCCACTCATTGTCATGGCTGGTTCCGGTGGCTGCCTTCTTCGGGTTTTCAACTCTCCTCTTCGACGCCATCTCTAAGATCTGGCTTGGGATTAGCGGCGGAAGCGCGTGTAAATATGAATCAGGAAGCACGAGGGCTGAGGAGGAAGATGAAGTGGCGAAGTGGCAAAGGTGGGAGCACGAAGTGCGGTGGCGCAATTATAAAGCACTCCGCCCACTTTTCGCATTCAAGGGTTTTTGGGAAACCGCTCCACGATTTGTGCCTCTCCGAATTCTTTGAAGTGGAATGATGGGCCGTTACCTGGACTTTCACGCAACTGTAGCCCATATCGCCCATTTTTCGCCGCAATTTGTTACTGCTCACCGAATATTCGCCGACTTCTCCGCAATCCATTAAGGCTCAGTAACTCCTACTGTACAGCCATTACTCTAGTTTTTTATCCATGATTTGATTTCTCCAAGATTTCCACTTGTGGCTCGGGGACTACGTCATTAATAAGTGTTGGTTCCTCACCACACTGGGGACTTTTTCTATTCACTGTTGTTTCTGACCCTGGCACCACGTGACCACGTCACCTACTATCAGGCTCGGGGACTAAGTGGGCACACTTCACCTTGAGGTGAATGTGCTTTTTAGGGCTTCGCCAGGGGACTGGCTGCCTGCTCGACTGGTCTTTTGCTTCTCTTCTACTTTGGACCCTAGCACCACGTGACTATGTCACCTACTGTCAGGCTCAAAGACTAAGTGGGCACACTTCATCTCGTGGTGAGTGTGTTTGCTTTAATCTGGAAGACTCCGTGCCTCCTAAAGTTGAAGAAGAATATCTCCTTTTCTCGTGGTCGGACTCTAAGTGGGCACACTTGGTCCACTACGAAGAAATTTTTTATTTTGAACTTGAGCTCCTTACATCTTTATGGCAAGCCTTACTTGGGATACACTGCTCGGTGACGGTTCACAACTCCTCGGCGATGGTTCATAACTGCTTGATAACTCTTCATGGTGGTCGTACTCGGACAAGCTCAAGACGGCATTTCACAATGGCAACAAGGTGCTCGGGGACTAGCTGTGGTGGGTACGACCTCAGATACCCATGGCAAATTACATGGGTTGCGCCCCCCAGGGGTGGTCCAGCCCACAAGACGAAGCCTTGCGGAGCACGGCGCTGCTCAGCGTGCCCCGCAAGACACTGGGAAGATATCTTGAAGATACTACGAGATCTATTAGGATAGGTCTGATCTCATGATTCCTGTAATCTATTATTACTTTCCGGTTATCTTCTAGATCTAACTGACTTGTAACCCTGCCCCCCAGACTATATAAGGCGGGCAGGGACCCCCTCAAAACACACGAAAGATCATACGATTGCCAATACAATCTAATAGACCATAGGAGTAGAGTATTGCGTCGCACTGATGGCCCGAACCTATCTAACTCTTGTGTCTCTGTTGCCTTCTTGTTCTCAATTACACGCATCTCTGCCGATCAATCTACCTTCATCGGATACCCCTCGGAGGACTGCCGATGATATTCTGTCGACACCTTTGTATTCCACCTCCCGTTAGTCGGCCTAGCAGGACCTTGTTGCTATAGGAAACATACTCTGTCTATGTTTTCTTTAGTAATATCCCTAGAATTAAACAATAGAAGACAAAGCTTACCGAAGCTAGAACTAGAAGACTTTAGCAATCTCCTCTATGTTCCTATTATCTAGCCTTGATTGTGAAGTTGGGTTAAGCTAGATTTGGTTATTCTCACACATGTTTCCTTGAGTTCGATATAAAACTGGGTACTCCCAGTGAAGTGCTATATCGGTATAATATTCGTGCGCTTGTGGATTATTCTGTGTGGATTAATTTATACCAACAGAGTGTGAGATCAAGATTCTAATGCATTGTATTGAGATATTTTTGAGTGGCACTAGAAGATCATATTGCAAGCAAGTTTGATTATTACTCTTGGAGGTTGTCCTCACTTAGATGGTATTGGAGCTTGGGGACTTTGTCGAAATGCAACAACGAAGATTATGTTCGTGCTCCAGAGAAGACTTGTGAGGGGGATATTAAGTTCATCCCCGTCGGAAGAGGCAAATGACAACTCTAGTGGAATTGAGGTTTTGAGAGTGCCTAGTTGTTCTATCTGGCTCGAGATCAAGCGCTTACGAGATCAGACAACCTTATGGGGTTGGAAGCTTGATAAAGGAGTTGTGGACCAAGGGCTCACCTTAACATGGACTAGGGGTGACCAAAGAAGTCACCAATACTATGAGAATACATCGTGTGGTATCTCTTGTGCTCATTTCAATTCTTGTACTTACTTTGACTTACTTACATTCTTAGAATTGAACTACTTGCACTTGTCACCCTAGGAAGCAAACCTCTAGTTAGAAGCTGTATCATTAGGGTCTCTTGTATTACTAAATAAATTTCCACTAGTGTCTTTGGTTTTTGGTGGTCACCGTCTCTTCACCCCCTCTAGTCATTTCCTATATCCTTTCAATGTTGCTTACTTTCCTCAATTTGAATTGCTTACTTTTCACTCTAGGTTGCAAGCCCCACTAGTTAGGAAGTGGTATCTTGGGACTCTCTTGTGTAGCTAATTAATTTTGCCTAGCGTCTTTATTTTTACCGTATATTCACCCCCTCTAGCTAGTTCCTTAGATCCTACAAGCGCCACCAGATGGAGCGTCGGAGGCTTAGGGCACCAGAGACGACAACGATGGCTGCCATTGGGACACTAGTGAGGAATGACTCATCAACGACCATCTTGGACAATAGGCCCATGTTTCATGGTCCTCTTCAATCTAGGTGGAGATAAGCCGGTCCAAGGCTAGGAAGCCCGATTCAGGGTGGAGGTAGGCTGATCTGGACAAAGGAGGGATGGGTGAGGTCGTGGTGCGGAAGAAGAGCTTCGTGCGAGAAAGGGCACATGAGAGGTGAGAATGGTTGTATGGTGGATGGATACTTTATTTGTTGATTAGGCCCATATTATAGTGCATCTAGGCTCAACATTATGTTGGCAAGAAAAACATTGTGGACCACTAACATGGAACCCATCTATAAAAACTACTCTGGCAATATTGTTCTTGTCCATGCCCTAAGGATGCCTCCAACAAGGACAACGTTGCTAGATGACTAGGCTTGGGATTGATATGGAGGGGAGAGAATTAGAAAAAAAAGTCGCTAACGGTTGTCTCATTGCTAGCTTGGAGGCGTGACCCCGTGCCATTGCTTTAGACCTTTTTTTTGACAAGGTTTTCTTTACCAACGGTTTCACCTAACGAGACAAAGAACTCAGTAGGTGGCTTCACCTTCTTAGTAAAAAAATGCTTCTCTCACACAGTTGTTTCATGAGTTAGCGTTTGACGGGGCTTGACAAAAAATCAAAGAAGCCGACGCTAAAGTCCATCAAGAAATCTTGCTATAAAGAACCTTACTTTGGTTGTTATTGGCAAAAAGAAGCATAGAGTTTTTAGTTCTTTTGGTAATTGGGCCCTTATTCAGTTGCTCTAGGTCAGACAATGACGTAGTTGGTTGAGAATGCTGTTAAGAGCAGTCAAATGTGATATATGCACGTCCTAATCGTCCAAAGTTAAACGCATAGCATGAAATGGATCTAGCAGCTGACAATCTCATTCTCTAGTAACCCAGACATGCCATCTTTTACATCATGAATCAAAAGGCTTTGCCAATCTAGATAAGCATGTCTTTTTTTTCTCCGTTGTCCGCGTATACTTCAAAATGTTCGGTGTTTCAGTGCCTTCAATGGCCCCTTTTGAATTCTGGCGTACTATCCTTTGATGAGTCTAGTGTTTGATGAGAGCTGTTCACACATGGTAAGCGCGTTGTTGTTTGGCAGAAGCATCATGCTAATCAACTTGGTGTTTTCAATCCTTTTTATTTTATTTATTGATGTTTTGAATTTGGGGTAGGGGCTGGTAGCGGCTTTTTGTTCGTGTGTTTTGCGGTGGAAAATGGAATGGTGGTGGTGGATGGAGAAGTAAAAAGGTGGGAAAGCGTAGTTATGACTTGTCTCTCTTTCTCACGAACTCCGAGCCAAAAAGCGTCCCCACACCCCTCAACCCCGTCTTTATTGCTACCCTAGCTGATAGCAGTAGGGTGATGCAGTGCACAAAACTGGTCCGCGCGCGCTCTCTCTCTCTCTCCACACACCACACCCGTGCTTGTGCTTGTGCGCGTAGCAAATCTCTTTCTTGCTTGCTCTCCCCCTTTCTTTATTTGGTTCGCCTTTATTAATTTCCATTTCCCGTAATTTCCTCCTCCTTTTCCCACCTTGCTTCCTCTCCTCGCTTTGCTCTCTCTCACATGCACCTAGGCAGCACGCAGCAGCAAGGCTAGGCTCGAGGCTCCCATCCATCTCCCATTGCATGCCAAACAAGCAAGCAAGAGATCAAGAGGAGCAGTGAGTGAGTGAGTGGCGTTTGGTGTGAAGTGAGGACTTGGAGGAGGAAGGAGGAGGACGAAGCGGGTCATGGCATGGTGATGGACCTGCTGCTCCACCTCCCTGCCGATCTAATCACTTTGCCCCTAGGTACCGTACAGGCGTGCGCGCGGGCATCAGTCACCTCCCCCTCCTAACTCCCACCAAATCTCCCTCCCTCCCCTGCTTTCTCCCTCTGTCTCTCTCTCTCCTAGCTGCTTTCTTGATTTTTTATCCGTCTCCTAGCTCCAGATTTTAAAAATTATCTTTTGTGAGCAACTTATAGCTAACTACTAGTAGCTGAGACTAAGAGTGTGCTTTCTCGCTTAATCTCCATGTTACCGCTAGTGCTCTAGTCTTAGCTAGCCTTGCTGAGCCCTTTGCAGTGCTGGGAGGAGAAGGACAAGGTCTCTGATCAGCTGAGCTTGTCTGGTCAAAGCTGAGAGCCCGGTTGTGCTGCGAGTCCAAGCTCGACAGGACCACTGCCACTGTGAAGCACAGCGGCAGCGGCAGCGGCGACAAGACGAGGAGGCGGAAGCTGCCAAGCGGATAGATCTACGCAAATGGAGACCAAGGACGTGTCGCCGCTCCCCGCCACCACCGCCGCCGCCGCGGCGCCCGTGCCTACACCGGCCTCTCAGCCGCCGCCGCCGGCCCCTTCTTCTATGGCGCCGCCGCAGCACCAGCACCAGCCGCCGCCGCCGTTCGCGCAGCAGGCGGCCCCGGCTTCGTCGCCTGCCGCGTTCATGCCCGGCGGCATGCGGCTCTCGTTCGACCAGATGTCTGGGAAGGCGCCAGGGGAGCAGCACCACCACCCGCGCCCATGCTGTACGCGGCGCCACCGCAGTCCGCCGCGGGCGCGGGCGCGGCGGGCGCACCGGGGCCAATGTGCTGGGCATGGGCGAACTGATGCGCAAGAAGCGCGGGCGGCCGCGCAAGTACGCGCCTGACGGGAGCATGGCTCTGGCGCTGGCCCCCATCTCCTCCGCCTCAGCCGGCGGCGCCGCGGCTCCCGGACAGCAGCAGCACGGCGGGTTCTCCATCAGCAGCCCCGTCCGACCCCAACGCCAAGCGCCGCGGCCAGCCCCCGGCTCCGGCAAGAAGAAGCAGTTCGAAGCCCTGGGTACATGTTTTTCTCCCGTACTAAAGCCCTGCGTACATGCTTTCTTGCGCGCGTCCTATCTCACCAGTGCTGTGCTCGTTTCTTCGCTCGTGCAGGTTCTTGGGGCATCGCCTTCACCTCACATCCTCACCGTCAAGGCCGGCGAGGTAAGATTCACAGATCTTGGTTCAACTTTCAAACGTTTTGCTGCATCCTTGCGGTTGCTGGTCGTAAATGGCGTAGATCTGCGAGTCCGCGCGTCTCCTCTGAGTGCGCATGTCATGTGGTGGCTTCTTGCCACAAGGCCAAGTCACCGGTGCTTGCTGTGACCTTTGTGCTCTGTTCTGCCATGCCGTTGGGAAGCCCGGCAGGTTGTGAGCTCGCGTGGCGTGGGTGTTCGTCAGATTCCCGGCACGGCTGCCAGTTGACCGGGCCCACTGTCAGTGGTGGCAAGCTGGAGTACTAATGGGTGATGCACTCGGTGTCATTCCGGATTCTGACTGATAGTCTGGTGTGCTGCCAGTACCATGAATCCTGCGGTGTACGATGAGGGGCTCCAGGCAGCTGGCACCTTTTGGTTGTGCAGTCCTCACTCTTGACTCTTGAGTGAGGTGAGGCCATGGAGCATGGACTGTGCAGGGTAGCTGGGTGAAAGGATTGCTTATGCTGATCAAATTACTCCATGGTAGCAAACATTAATACATTATATATTAATTAATTGCCTCCTAATATCGTTGTGTTGGTGAATCATGATGGCTGATCGGATTTGGTAGCATGGATGCAACATACTCCCTCTGTCCCTAAATGTTTGTCGCCACGATTTGCGTCTCGATAACTTTGACTCGATTTGCGTGTCGCCACGATTTGTGCAACATTTCTATCTCCAAATAAATAAGATTCAAATATCTATCCAATGATACTAATTATGTATCATAAATATTAATATTTTTTAATATATATTTAGTCAAAGTTGTTTCTCGGGAAGCGAAAACGACAGATATTTAGGGACTGAGGGAGTATTACTTTACTGGTGTTTGCTAACCTTATTATCAATTAAATTGATGATCTCGAGTGGTAACCAAAATTTACTTTTAACAGTTGTTTGAATTGGATTAACTGTGTGGCCTGTGCATCTTGATCAACCAATCTGGAACTGAATTGGATATTTTCATCTCTCTTCTTCAACATTTGCTTGCAGCAAAGCTGCATAGAATTCTTCTGTGCAAGCTGTTAGCTAGCATGGTGCAAGGCCAAGCCATGCATTTGGTCGTGCCTTTTTATTTCTTTATGGCTATGAAGTTGTTCATTTATTGCCAGTGGGTCAAAAACTTGAATCTCTGTTCTAATGTCTGCTTCTTGCCTGACAGGATGTTGCTTCAAAAATAATGACATTCTCACAGCAAGGTCCTCGCACAGTCTGCATCCTTTCTGCGAACGGTGCAATTAGTAATGTTACACTTCGGCAGCCAGCCACATCTGGTGGACTAGTTACTTATGAGGTATGGTGTTCTTACTGCTTTGGAGCAAGTGGATGTATACCTATCGTTTTTTAGAATGGTATCTGAATTTCATGAGATTTTCTCCAATCTTCCATAGAATAAGTCACTGATCATCTTGGACTTTGTGTTGATGAGAATGCCACCTGGTAGGTGGGAAACATTGGCTTTCAGTTAAGGAAGGAGTGTATTGTTGTTAGTTCTTTTTCCTGACTTAGGTCATCTGAAATGGATTCACAAGCGCATCAATTTACTTTCAGTTCACCCACTAATTCTTTTTAGCCTAGTGTTTGGATTTTAATTGGGTTGCAACTTTGATGCGAAGGTTGAATACTTGGATGCCATCTGGCAAAGTGTTTGGTCTAGTTGACACATATAACATACCACCTTACGAACAACAGCGTTTGAATCTAACATATATGCTCTGAGCAATTAACTTTACAAGTTATGCCTGCTGTTCATTGCTCCACCTGACAATGCTATGTACATTTTCTTCTGGCAGGGGCGCTTTGAGATCATCTCGCTATCTGGTTCTTTCCTGCTTGCGGAGGATGGTGATACTCGCAGCAGGACTGGTGGCTTGAGTGTCGCACTTGCAGGATCTGATGGCCGAGTTCTTGGAGGGTGTGTTGCTGGAATGCTTATGGCTGCAACTCCTGTTCAGGTCCGATCAACATGTAGATTTTCTTCCTCACCCCAGCTGACATCTGTTCAATTGCTTTATATCACTGATCACTTGGTATTTCTACCTGTGTCTGATTGTTCATCAGGTCGTGGTGGCTAGTTTTATCGCAGAGGGAAAGAAATCAAAGCCAGCTGAAGCACGGAAGGTTGAACCGATGGCTGCCCCTCCACCACAGATGGCTACCTTTGTGCCAGCTCCGGTGGCCACCAGCCCTCCATCGGAGGGAACATCTAGCGCATCATCTGATGACTCTGGCAGCCCAATCAACCACAGTGCGATGCCGTTCAACCACTCTAGCCAGCATCAGCACCCTCACCAGCACCAGCACATGCCGCCTGCCTATGCATCCGGGGGTTGGTCCCTCTCAGTGCACCAGCAGAATAGGCATGATTCTGACATGAAGATGATGTCGAACTAACAGTGCTCGGCACCCCATTTGTTGGTTGGGCTGGAGAGGAAGGAAGCTGCTGATGGTTGGTACTGCTGCTATGAAACGGTCTTCTTGCGTTGTCTGCTCTGATCAGTGACGTCGTGTTGCTCTGATCAGTGACGGCGTGTCTGCTATAGCTAAGCTAGCTAGGAGAATTAGGGTTCATGGTCTCACCTGCCGTTGTTCCCCTGAGTAAGATTAATTTAATTTGAATTAGCCGCTGTTGTAATGCTGTAGCCGGTGTCCTAAAGTTACTTATCAGTCAGTCCCTAACGCGAGTTGTGATGGTTGCCTGATGAGATCTTCACCTTCTAGGCTAGTCAAAATACCATTTCTCTAGTACTATGAATCATGAATTTACTTGGATACTTCGGTTTAATTCAGGAATTTGATCTTATTCTGTTTTGTTTTGTTCTATTTTGTTCTGCTGCTGATCATGTATGCATTCTAGCTGGAAGTATTTAAGTGATGAAGAGTGACTGCCACGAGGCAATCTGCGCTGCTGCTACGTCTGAATGAGGATTTGTTTGAGCTAGAAGTTTGCCTAAAGTGGACAGCAGATAGCACTTCATGTGAAGGAGATTGCTCGACTGGCAGTTCGCAGATTGGTTCCTATCATTATCCTTTTGGAAGATGCAGATTAGAGATACAGATAGGGTCAAGAGAAATTTAGCCTACGGCAACAAACCTTAATTGTAATTCTCTGTTACGAACCTACGTGGCCATCAATCCACAAGATTAGCACCTGATACAATTTGCTCAGCACACGGAGAGTAATTCCGGATACAATTATCTAGAACCTTATCTACAAGGTTCTAGGAGTCGGAATAAGCTAGAGCACTGGGTCCTTGGCTCTTTGTCCCCTGCCTACTGGCTACTGCCAGGTCATCTGTTTGTTCCACAAGATAGCTTGTATCGTGTAGAGAAGCTAATGGTATTCTTTGTACAAGGCTCAAAACTAGATTGTTTTAGATATATTGTCCAAGTACAAGGCATTTACAACGAACAGCTTTATCTAAAAATTTACAACAAATAACTTGTTGACATTGATTTTGTCTGTACCATAGGAATTTTTTCGGTTCTCGATCGTGTTAGTTCAAAGTTCTCGAATCTGATTACAAGTTAAAACAAATAGGGTCATAGTTATTATGCTTAAATCATTTTTTAATACTATAGCTTAGGAATGATATCAAGAATATGCAAAGTTTCATGTTAGGAAGATCAATGACTCATATAAACTACTTAATGAAAATTATCCTCAAGAAACCTAACGAGAAACTTTTTTTAAAAAAAAAGTAGAAATACTTCCTTTGTCTAACAAATCACATAAAGTTCACGAATTAATAAGGTTCTCAAAAGAATCATTATCACAATTAAAATGATTTAGGAAGTGTCGGGGTTGTAACCCCGGGTGTCTCAAGGCATCGAGTAGTAGACAGGTCACGCGGCCCACAATTTACCCGATAGCGAAAGCCCGAACGACTGAGGCCCAGCTAAGCCAAGCACGCCAAGGTTGGGGTCGGCCACGACCCCTACCAGCCACCTCAGTCATACGGCGCCCGCAAGACGCACGACCTCTTCTCCGTCACAACCCCCCGGAAGGGGTGGAGAGAGGTCGCGCCTAGCTAAACGTGCTTGCTCTGACAGGAGCAAGCACGCCGGACTGACCCCACAAGGACCGAGGGGACAGCGGTCACCTCGGCCCGGTCAGACACCATCCCTGTGCCATGCCGCTCCGATGAGACTACACCGCACTACGGTGGCAACAGGTACGATACCCACCGTCCCAATACGGACCGACTAGACACTTGTATGATCCCACCCACTACGGGATGGGACCCACGACAAGGGGCTCGACAGAAGGACATCCAGACCAGCAGAGTGCTCCTACCCCAATGATCGGGGTCGTGGCCCTCGGCCCCGCAAAGCGACCAAGTGATCGACGACCCAGGGCAAGTGCCTACTTTGGGTACGACGTCCCTAGGAGCCTGGAGACGATGACGAAGGCCACGACAGACACCGTGTTCCACGGGACGACTAACGAACCACCAACGAGGCTACAGTGCCGCCACGGCCACCACAGTAGCACCACGTCACGCCCTGCCACAACGTGACTAGAAGACCATGACAATAGCCATGACCTGACGTGCATCAGAAGACGACGTACTTGCAAGCCAAGTTAGCTAGGACCTCCCTCGGGCTGTCGACCCTTCGGTCGGGAGAATCTCCTCTTTGTACAAGCCCTAGCCCCGATCTGTATATAAGGACCGCTAGGGCAACATGGTTCACATCCTCTATAATTTCATTCATTCACCATTGTAGTAGAGCTCCTAGAGCTTTCCTTCGGGCAGCCCCTCGCCTAGCATAGGTTCCACCACCTCTTTCACCATTCTTGCACTCCGTATTATAAGAACTTCAGAGCATTCAAGCGAGGAACACGCACTCGATCATCTCTGAGACTGGACGTAGGGCTCCGCCTGAACCAGTATAAATCCTCGTGTCTATTGGATGCTACCATCATCTTTCTAGAGCAGCGCGACAATCGTATAAGTTTACTAGTCCTGATTACGAAACACCGACAGTTAGCGCGCCAGGTAGGGGACAGTCGCACACTCTCGTTTGTTGAGAAGGAAGCGATGGCTCCTCGCACTGCCGGTGAACTCACTGGTGGAATGGCCCACGGCAGCCACATCCGCTGCAAAAGCTATGAGTTCATCAGCATCAAAGGGCTAGCACCCGCGTCCGCTTGCGGCTACGACCCAAACCTCTGACACGGAGATCCAGAGCACGTAGCCCGCCATGGACACACTCTCGAAACTACCTCCGATGGCAGCATCCTGGAGTTCACCTGCCCAGAGGGGCCAGTAACCTCACTCATCGTCGGCCACGGCCAGACCTCCCGTTTGAGAAGCCAAAGGCCCATGGCTCGCAACGAACTCGCCCAGGGAATGGCCTCAACTGGCCAATCCTTTTGGGGAACCACACTGTTAACCGCACCAATGGGCCGACGCCCGTGCCCACCCTCAGTTGCAGCCTGGACCTCCATCCCATAGGTCTGGATCTCGTGGTCCACGGTGGACCCTCCCTCAGAACTGCCCTTGGGGGCTGCATCCCAGAGTGCACCCACGTGAGGGGCCCAGTGCCCCCTCTCATTACTGGCCATGGCCGAGACTTCCACCAGGGAAACCAGGCGGCCATGGCTTATGGTGATCTCACCCAACGAATGACCTGCGGTGCCCACGTCGTTTTCGGGAACCATGAGATCGCCCGAACCGACGGGGCAACACCCGTCATCAGCTTTTACCCAGTCCAGACTCGCCGTGTGGCAAAACTAGGCCCTACGATAGAACTACTCCCCGAGCAGCGTCTTCGCCATCTGCAGAACGCGACAAGACAGGGCACGCATGAACGACAAAATCACACGCCGCCACGCTGCGTCGTTCGTGATCAAGCGACCAATCAATGTCACGCCACGTGGTATCAAGCCTGGAACTAGGATCCGATCCTGGGCAACGAGCAAGCTACGCGACACACCTCGGTGAACTGTAAGCCCTCACTCGAAAGCGCGTGCATCCGAGGAAGCGGGCATCCTGAGCACACCGCACGCCGCAACGAGCGGGTCGAACCGTGTTGTACTCAAATCTAGCTCCCGCAGCGACATGTCATAACTGCTCTCCCTCGAAAGCGGCCACCACACCCGGAGGCAGAGACAGGCGACAGCAACATCGTTGAGCTAGAAGGACTCAGGCACTGAAACACACGAGCCCTCCCGGCTAGAAGCTACTACACGCCGAACATGAAGAAGCCATCCTCGGGGCTCGCGGGCCCCTCGAGGACGCAAGCGGCAAGGACCAGCCTAAGGCACTGAGGGCGATCCACGCCAGCCACGACCATTCCAAGCGGTAAAGAAGCATCCCCATCAGCTTGCAGCACTGGGACTACGATGACTCCATCACGAGCAGACGCTCGGGGGCTTGACACGCCCCGAGCTACGGCAACCAGTTCATCGCCAGCTTCTGGTACATCGGTCGGTCACATCCACCTTGACTTTAGCCTCATCACCCAAGCACGTCCACATACATATATAGGCTCATCAATAGCCACGCAAGCCTAGGACTGACCCGCAAGGTGAAACCTGATAGCACGACTCCCATACTGCATGTCCTAGTAGCACTCAACTCCCGAATGGCTCGATCCAACCTGCACCCACGGCTAGACGTGACTCACTCACGACAGCTACATTCATAGGCACACACACATGATCCATTGCGCAGCACCGTTGGTCATCATCCTAGCGATCCATCCATCTTGAACTCTTTTCCAACAATGCCCCATGCCGTGATGAATCGATGACCCGAGTCTCGACTTCTCATCAGCACAAACGAGGAACTCGCTCGCTCAAAGGGAAAGGGGCAGGAGGGAAAGGGCCACGAGCCACCTGCTCACTTTCTTCTCGCATCAAGCCAGATCTGTGACCTACCCTCGATGTCACGCCGCTCCAACAGGGTACGCACCGTTCTAGCCTCGCGGGCCAACCCCTAGGCTAAAATACGCACCTACAAGCACGGGACCAAAGGGGGCGAAGCACATTCCAATTCGAACGAAAAGGAAGGTGAAATGGTAGCCAAATGACAAAAGAATGCACTGATCACCTATCCTCTGCGCAAAAAACCAAACATGTTCATTACAAATCAGCCACCCATAAAGCCCTTGGAGTCCTTAACAAAACTTTACACCCCGAAAGATTGATGCTGACGGTGAATGCTCACGCCTGACATCTTGCTTGCAAGGGCCTCCACGCCTTGGGCAGCAACACTCTTGATGGTGAGGACCTCTCTCTCAGACCTCCTTGGAGCATGCCCTTGCCCAACGACATCAAAATCGACACCGTTATAGTGTGAGCCGACTGACGTCAAAGCAGCAAGAGTGCCACGATGAAATCCCTTGGAAATTAGGGAATCCACATGGAGGCGGGCCTCGTCGAGGCG